CAGTTACCTTCCTTTAGCTCAACACTTCAAGTTTTTGTTCCTCACTACCGTAGCCATGTATTGAACTCACAACTCTTTGGATTAAGTCACTGGATCCAACCAAACCGTTGTGATTTCTATACCTGGCTACGGCAGTCGTGAACAAAAGCTTGAGGAGTTGAGTTAAAGGAAGATAACTGAGATATCCGAGAGAGTCATGGCACGTGGATCTAGAACAATCCGTTGGATGAAATAAAGGGTTCAGTTCGAAATTCCAATCACCTGAAGAAGGCCGAAGCGTACCACGGCTGAAACGTCGTGAATATGCCAATAAAGATAAGGACAACAATCCAAACAATGTAAAAAATGTAAATAATTACAATACCTCATCTCAGAAATATAGAAGAAGGCTGGAGAGTACAACGGCCTAAAAGTCGTGAATATGGCAACGAAGATGACGACAACAGTCCGAACAATGTAAATAGTGTAAACAATTACAATACCTCATCTCAGAAATATAGAAGAAGGCTGAAGCGTACAACGGCCTAAAAGTCGTGAATATGGCAACAGTCCGAACAATGTAAATAGTGTAAATAATTACAATACTTCATTTCAGAAATATAGACAGTCCTGAAAGAACACTGCACATAAAAGATGTTAAATTTAACCATACACTTCTTTTTTCTACAGTGACCTTGGGCGACCATGCTCTTCACAACTTCTTATTCTGATGCTAACTTCCAGGAGGTTGACTCCTTGTGCCTTCTCGGTTCACGTTTTCCACCGGTATCAAGTAAAAAGTTTATATCGAATTATTTGCTAGTTGTACTGCTAGGAATGTTGGTCTTCTGTGTCTTGCTAGAAAATGTTCTGAAATCTGAAACTCTCTGATATATTTACAAGTTTACTATTCGCCTATGCTTATACTATGGCTGCTACAGTCTGGTGCTCCTATTATATATGTCGAGATCCTTTATAAAATCCAAATAGGAATATGCAATATGAATGGTCCTGACCTGGCATCTCGTCTTCAGTCACTTTCCCAATCGCCAAATGTAGCTTCCCTGTGGTTTTCTAGAAATAGTTTCTGGGTACATATTCCGATAAACCATCCTCATTACTATACTTTACGAATTTAAGTATGACGCCTACCCCATCCGATCCGTATTCAAGTTCGATCCCCTCGGCTGATCGTAGAGTTGATCGCTTCGGCACAAGACTTGTCTCACTCCCACGTTGTGTTAGTTGATCGCAAGACTAGCTGGGTCCGAGTGGTCGACTGGATTCGATGATTTGGTTTGTTACGGTTAAAGTCACACGAAAAAAATAAATTGGATATAAAAAAAAGTAATTCCTTGATACAAAGATGGTAGTACAGTTAATGATGGCTTAAGCAGACCTATATTCTCCATGCAATAACCATCGACCCTTCCCAATTATCATGACACATTTCATAAATGTGTCGTCATATTCTGCTATGGCAACAGCAAACAACTTTGAGTGAAATTAACAAGAAAGAATGCAGTGGAAAGGAAAATAATAATGCAGAGTGCTAATGGTTAATTTTCGTTCAACACTTCTCGGTACAAATTATATCTTGTCTGAATTGTCTAAACGTTTTCGTCTGGTGAATGTTAAACTTTCTTGTTTTGTTTTGTTTTGAGTTGAATGTGTATGTCCTTGTATGACGTCTACCTCGGCCGCTCCGTATTCAAATTCGAGTCTCTCGGCCCAAGTCTTGTCTCGTCCCCACGTTGTGTTAATTGATCACAAGACTGGATTGGTCAGAATGGTCGGCTGGAATCGATGACTTTGTTTGGTCCGGTTAGAGTAAAGTCACACGAAAAAATAAATTGGATAAAATAAAAAAAAGTATTTATATACAATACCTTGCTACAAAAAAAAAATATTAATTACAATTCTTTTTCTATTTTCCTTCGTCTGGTCATCAGTATATCTTCAGTCCATCAGAATTTAGTGTTTTTCTATCTTCTAGTTTTTAGGGTTTTTTTTTTTCAATTTACTAGCGTCTTTCCAATTGTGTCACATCGGCTGAGTACTCGATTGGCGGCATGATCTCAACATTTTACCGTCAAAATGGCTAGATGTAATCGTAAATTCTATGATAACAGTTTCTTTTCTCGCACTTCTCGCTTGTGGAACTCTCTTCCGGCTCCATGTTTTCTAGCCAACTTTGATCTTCAAAAATTTAAAAGTCCAGTGGCCTAAGTAAAGTTTTTAACCAGGAGAAATAAATTACATCCAATTTCAAAATTTAATTACGTAATCCCATCTCAACATGAATAAACAGTATTTGGAACTAGTATGGAGTAGGTCCTCCATTTGCTAATTTCTTGTATTCGATTTTCCTTGGATTTGATCAAGTTATCGACAATCATCTGATCCATATTTTGCTACTCCTTTAGCAATGTTTCTTTAAGGGTTGCCACTGACGTGATTCTGGTTTCACGCTCTCGAAGTTTTCGGTCAAGGTGCTCCCAAACGTGCTCTTTTGGAATCGTGTCAGAATTTTGGGCTACCCATGGCAGTAACTTGATTCCTTGCAATTCCTTCCAGGCCTTTGCTACTTTGCTTGTATGAAATAGCGCTCCATCTTCTTGAAAATGGTAGACATTCTTGTCAATCTGTTTGGTTTCTAATAGTAGGAGTAGTCCTTTCTCTAATATTTGACAGTATTTTAGACCATTCAACCGCTCGTCAACAAGAATCAGGTCAGATTTCTCTCCAAACCAGACAGCGCCCCACACCATTATTCCAATCCCTCCATGTTTCACGGTCGCCTGCAGACATTCAGTGTTCCAAGTTTCATTCCGGTTTCTCCAAACATAAACCAATCTCGAATTCGAATATTGGCAGAATTTACTTTCATCTGACAAAATTCATAATCTTTGCTCTCGAATTCTCTCGCCCAGTCCATAGGCCTGTTCCTGTTAATCTCTGAAATCAAAGGCTTCTTTCTTGCAACTCTTCTTTGATAGCCTAGCTCTTTTAGAGTCTTTCTGACCACATATGCCGATATTTCTATGTTGTTGACGACATCTTTGACGCTCTGACAACGGTTTCTGATGACTTCCCTCTTCAGCGCCCATTTCGTTCGCTCAGACACGATGCTTTGTCTTCCTGAACGTTTTTCCACATGACAATGGACTTCTTCATTAAATTTCTTGACAATATTATTGACCGTTAGAAAAAACTAGCAATTTCTCTATTTGACTTGCCACACTAATGCCATACTATTATTTGTTCTCGTTGAAATTCACTAATTTCCTTACTTCCGCGAACTTTCACTGCAAAATATAAGTCAACTATCGTTCATGGATTAGAGTAGCTCGATACTAACAAAATATTGTCTGAAAGAAAAGTAAAGACGTTATTAGCACGCGACAAAATTGCTGTAATCAAGGGTGGCTAAAAACTTATCATAGCTCACTGTATTGTCAATCGTTGTCTACTGTCTTCTTGATTACTTCTCTATGGGTCTCGCTCATTCATAATGTTTTATTTTCATTCTCATATTTTCACACTCACTGCGTCTTAGTGGCTCTATTGCCTTCCTTGATTTGAATTGACTAATAAAAGGATTGTGCCTCGCATGAAACAGCCTGTCGCCTCTGAGTGTTGACTTCAATGTTCATTTATATATATATATATATATATATATATAGAGAGAGAGAGAGAGAGACAGAGACAGAGAGAGAGAGACAGACAGACAAATGCAAGAGATCGTATACTTATTCCCTCTTGGGCTACACAGAAGCATCACAAAGATCTATTTGAACTGCTAGGGAAACTTGATTTATTTGGGAAAGATATTAAAATAATCCAGAATAAATACTAGGAGCAAATAACGTGCATACAGATAGAAAATGGATTTAGCAAGTAAATACAAACAGAAAGTGCCATCTCACTTAAAATCAGTCTTATCATTGGAAATCTTAAAACTTTACAGCGATGCAATCTCGAGAGACCTAGAAGGCACATCATGACTGGTGAACATAATTTTAGCAACGTAAAATCCGCAAGCGACACCATATTGATAGCAGATACAGTAAGAAAATTGCAGGAAACAAAGGCAATGCAGTAGAGGAAAACGGGAAGAAAGGCGTAACGATTAACTGCAAGAAGACAGAATGCATTATGGTAAGAGGGACAGACCAGAGTACGAGCTATGAGCTGTCGACATCAAGCTATGGCCAGAATTCCTGCATATTTTGGGAAGTGTTTGAACAGAAGACAGAACAAAGGTGCATAAGAATATTGAAAGATGAATTCCAAAACTAGAACAAATTCTTATTTTTAGTCATTTCAACTCAAGGAAGGCAATAGAGCCACTAAGACGCAAGGGCTTACTCAGTGTTAGAAAATATGAGAAAAATAACATCATTAAAGAACGAGAACAATAAAACAACAAAAATTATAAAGACAAGATAACGATTGACATTGTATTTATATTTTTAAAGCTCAAATTTGATGCTTTTTAATCATATCATCGCATGAAAGGCAATAAAGCTACTAAGACACAATGAGCCAGTGAGAGTGAAAGTATGAGAATGAAAGTAAAAAAAAAAATGGAAGGAGTATGCGATCCATGAGGAAGTTTTAAGTATAATGGGAATAAAAAAGAAAGGAGTTTTATACCTAGAATCAGAAAGAAAAAGTTGCAATTTCTGGGACAGATAATAAGAAGGGCATCGAGAATTTGGCCCCCACAAGAGACACTGTAGACAAGAGAAGGAATTGGAAACAGCGAGTAAGCTATCTAAGGAACTTGGCGGAACAAAACCCGGGAGCGATGATAAAGAGAAAAAAATATTGATTAGAGCTAGAAAAGACTGGAAGTTGTGGAGAACCATGATCTCCCACGTCCTGAAGAGGTACAAGACATTAAAGGAGAGAAACCCTTTATATTTCAAATCCATTTTATTTGGGTCGCTTTGAAACATGTTGGAAGGCTATAAAGAAAGGGAAATCCTACATTACGAGTACGCCGTCACTATCACGACCCAGTGCGCCAAATGGATTCTTCGATCGGCTGGATTGGCGGGAAAGAATGCATTTATTTATAAGATGCCCTCTCACACGGCAAGTAGCGTGGTGACGATGAGGAAAAACTGAAAGGATTGACTTGTCATTGTGTCGGTCAAAAGCTACGGCATCCACTCTGAAAAGCTTCCGCCTCAGCAAACAAAAAGAAATCGGACGTGACGAACATCTATTCGTCCATCCAACATGTTTGATATTTGCTGTCTCTGACGAATATAGGAATAATAATAATAATAATAATAATAATAATAATAATTGATAGTGTTTCTTGATCTGTTTTGTGTGCAGACATGATAGATAGATAGATAGATAGATAGATAGATAGATAGAAGTCGACTGAGATAAGAAAGAAAGAAAGGATGACGGAATTTTTTAAAAAGTTGGTTTTTAAAAATTTCCGAAAAACCGACTAGCTAGCTAGCTAGATAGATAGATAGATACAGACAAACAGACAGACAACAAACTGGAATAGATAGATAGATAGATAGATAGATAGATAGATAGATAGATAGATAGATAGATAGATAGATAAAATAAGCTACTGGTACAAAAATGCGTAAACGTTTTTGAAAATGTTGGAAACTGAAGAATGAGCATCTCCAAAACATGTATGGTAGCAATACTCCATTGTTAATATAAGATAGATAGATAGATAGATAGATAGATAGATAGATAGATAGATAGATAGATAGATAGATATTCCCAGTGGCTCAGATCCTAAAGTAATGAACAACATACAGATATTTGGAAACTATTTGGTCGAAAGAAAGAAAGAAAAAAAGAAGGAAAGAAAAAAACTATCTAAAGTAATGACCATCATACAAGGTATTTTGACACTACTTGGGTCTCATTTATTTGATAGATATATCAAAGAAAGCAATCGAATAAAACAGAGCCTAAAGTAATGGCCAATATACACATATTTTGACGTTATTCCCTGAAAGAAATGGAGAAAGAAAGCACGAAACAAACAAAAAGAAAGAATACTGATTTAACATGGATATATCGATAGATAGACAGATATTCCCTGCAGCTATATACAGTGATTTTGGGACTGTTTGGTCGTTCCTGAAAGAAAGAAAGAAAGAAACAAACAAACAAACAAACAATAAGAGAGAAGTAAACTGAACTGTTATATATATATATATATATATATATATATATATATATATATATATATATTAGGGCTTCCATTATTTTTAATCCTTTATTTGTATTTTCTACTAGTATGTGTGTGTGTGTGTGTGTGTGTGTGTGTGTGTGTGTGTGTGTGTGTGTGTGTGTGTGTGAAGCACCAAACATCTAGTCTGGTGCGCCTGATATTTACAGATTCTTGATAAAACACAAAGAACAATCTTCAACCTTATAGGTGTTGACCTGTCATCTCGGCATCAGTCATTTTCCCCCCGCCGTAATGTAGCTTCCTTGTACCTTTTCGATGAATACTTCCGTTGTCATTGTTCAGATGAACTTTACCCTTTGTATGCTCATTGGCCCCTTTTATTTCTGCCCCTATTTTTCTTTAAGTTTAATCCCCTATCCCCTCCCTCGTTAGGTGGTCAGTGATGTCAGTTCGCTGGTGGATGCGGGGCGCCTTTCGTTTCGCGTGAGTGTTTATTCGTATTTGTTGTTGTGTCTGAATGAGTGCATGTCAGTGTGAGTGCTTGGGATGAATGAATGCTTAGTATTTATCAATCCACCCACGAGGATAGAATGTGGTACAAGTCCAGCATTGTTTTTCGGCTTGTTAACTGACATTTCTGCCACATTTAGTGATTGTGGGGGGGGGGAGTTATTACTAATATCATTTTCTTTAGTTTCTTGTAAATAGATTTTGCTTTCATATTCTAAATACTCATTGGGGCTATTTTTTAGAATTGTTGTTTTATTCCCCTCCCCCCCAGACAATGAACTGTAAATATGGAGTCTAGGTCGTACTTTCATAGAGACAAAGAGGTATTATGGTGATTGTAGTAAGAAAGGTACGTATGAATGTGTTGTTTTGGTGTAAGGAATATTGTTTGGTTGCGATTGGGTCAGCGTTTGTGGCTAGCTAAGTTATAGTTAAGACAGAAGAAGACCGTCCTTTCCCCAAACCCCCACTTCGGCCATGTGCCACATTTCTGTATTAAACAGAATAAATATCACTTTCCCCTTTGGTAACTAGAATTTATGAATTTGGGCGCAGTACTAGATTGGCTACTAGGTCTCATCATTTTACAGTTTAAATGGACTAATGTAGCCATATATTCCGTGGGATTAGTTTCTTCCATCGTACTTCTTCACTTGTGAATCTCCCTTTCGGTTTCTTACTTCCCAATCAACTTTGACCTTCAAAGATTTAAATGCAATGTCAATCGATATATTCTGTCTTCTTAATTACTGTCCTCTTATTGGCCTCTTTTCTTCATATCGATTCTTTTTTCTCATATTCCCTGACACTCTGTAACCCCTTGCGTCTTAGTGGGTTCATTGACTTGCTTGGAGGTGAGATGATTTTAAAAAATGCACAGGCACAGATATGAAGAGATGGGGACTGATCATTTAAGCATTGCATATCGCATCCCAGACGGATCTGCTAATAAAATTCAGTGTTTATGTTTTCCCACGCGTGACCAGGATACTGAGGATGTGAGGAGGCTATACGGATGACATATATATTGATAATTCTCTCTCCTTAATGTTTTTTTTCTCATATTCTTTGACACTCGGCAAACACTTGCATTTATTGTCTTTATTATCTTGCTTGGGATGAAAGTTTAAAGTTTGAAAATCGACGATTAATTTAATGAGTATCGTAGTTCTCTGTCTAGATTTTAAAAAATCGTTGTACCAGTAAACCTTCACGTAGTTAAATAGCGCTTTTGAAATTCTAAAGCTTGAGAAACGAGACACTATGCAGAATGTCCTCGGGTTACGTCGGACACCACGTACAGCGTTTCGTAGTTACGGCGCCATCTCCCATAGTATAATAGGTCGTCACGCGGCGCTATATGAAGAATATCAGGGCTGTTTCTTCAACGGCTGTACGCCATATTGTATTGTGCTACATTCGCTATCTCTCGTTTGTGTACATGATCGCCTAAGCGTGTATCACGCATGGCAAATAAATGACGGAAGTTTCGTTTAGAATTTTGAATTATCTTTCCAAAAATCATGTAATGAATTCTCTCCGCGAGATGCTATCATATATTAAAACTTTTTTCGTTCTCTTCCATTTCTTGATTAGATATTGGAAGATGATTTTCGAATATAAACGCCTGGAAGGAAGATATTAAAACGACAAAAAGAAGGAAATCAACTATTCATATTACACTGTTGATTTCCCAGAGGGAAGCGCCTCTCATTTAGGCTACAGTTACTACGCATTGTAATGTCTGAGACAAGGCTACAAACATTTTACGGCGCCTGTTTTTACCCAAATGCTCGCTCTTCTTAGCACTGACTGACCAGCTACAACGTTGCTTAAATACAATGATAGGTCAATAAAAATGGCTTCCAATCTCTATCAATCTTTTCACTCGATAGAAAAAAAAAGAAATTCGTTCCATGATATTGAAATAAATATCATTATCCAAGATTTCTTTTTTTATGCACCGCGTCCATTCAAGACGTAGGCGATCATACCTCTCCACTTTCTCCCTATCCCTTGTAGCTTTCAATAAGTTTCATCCCTCTGCCACCTCCTCCAGACCACGTTATGTCATCCACTTTCTTAAAACCGCCAGGTATGTCATGCGTTGCTTTCTCTTGTCTCTCCTTCCCTCTGTTCGACCTGTGAGTATCAGATTCTCCAAGCTCTCCTTTCTCATTACGTGTACCAGAAATTTCATTTACCTCTTCTTGTTAACTTGATCTAACCTTGTACTATCGGCAAAACCTAGAATAAAATTGTGCCCTCTCTCTGGGGGGGGGGGCTAAACACGCATCAATATTCTTGAATCATGTAAATGCTTATAGACTCAAATTTAAACGACTAATATGTACCCATGAACCAATTAAATACTAATTAGAGAATCAAATATCAACGTATAGTACTTACCTATTCTCGAACTTATTAAATACTAAACAAAAACAAAAACCTCAAATTCAAACGGGTTTACGGCCATATCACGTTGAAACATTGGTTCCCATGCGACCACCGAAGTTAAGCAACGTCGAGCTGGTCAGTTCCTAGAGAGGTAACCATTTCGGGTTACAGGTTCTATAAGCTTGGGTATGCGGGTGGGGTAATTGATAATAACTCGGAGTTGTTAATCAGAAAACCGAGTTCCAATTCCAGTTGGGTTCGTTATATTCACTTACGCGCAAATACCCTTGGAAAAGTTATGGGTCTACCTCTTCTCCCCCAGCTATGGGTTAATTAGTAAGACTTGTATCACTGAAACCATTATTATCTCAAAAAAAAATCAAATTGCGTAAAATTTCGTCACAGAGGTTGATGTGCCGCTAAACAACAACCAACCAACCAACATAAAATTCAAACTACTAATATTTACTTATTCAAATACCAAATAAATGCTAATTATAGACTTAAATATAAATGACCAATATATACCTAGGCTCGAACCTAGTAAACGCTAATTAAAAATTAAATACTCAAATAAAAGCTCAAATTTAAACGACTAATATTTGCCTATTCAAGAATCAAGTAAATGTGTAGACTCAAATATGAACAACCAATATTCTCGAACCTACTAAATAGTAAATAAAAAGCTTTAATAAAATTACCCATATCGACATACTAGCGGTATAACCAGTCTACGGCCGGGGATTTCATTACTAGGAATTTTTGCTGTTCAGTTGAAACAGTTTAAGTTTAAAGTCAGCCCACCCACCCCACCACCACCACCAAAAAAAAAAAAAAAAAGATTAAAGATTTTTCACCTTCAAGGTTGTAATTTTTTCCAGCCAATTTGGACTCAAAACCGGTGCTGAATTTTTATCTATCAAACAAAAAAAAATTCATTAAAATCAGATGAAAACTGTGGAAATGCATAAACAACATCCAATCTCACGCACATACACGCAGATACACACACATACATTTTGAGAATTATAGATAGAGATATAATTAATTATATAAATTTAACTGCATAATCATACTTATTATAAAATCCAGGTTGTGTGTGTGTGTGTGTGTGTGTGTGTGTGTGTGTGTGTGTGTGTGTGTGTGTGTGTGTGTGTGTGTGTGTGTGTGTGTCTATTCGTTTATATATTGGATCGGATTTCCTACATTTTTAAACCGATTTCAACAAAACTTCACAGGACTACGTAAAATTACCTTGCAATGGTTCTGACAGCGCCAAAAATTGAAACATAATTGTTTTTTGCACGAAATCAATTTGAAAACACGATTAAGAGGCATCAAGAGAATTAAAGGGGACTACTCATATCGAGTTATACTTATTATAAAACCAGGTTGTGTGTGTGTGTGTGTGTGTGTGTGTGTGTGTGTGTGTGTGTGTGTGTTCGTTTATATATGGAATCGGATTTCCTACATTTTCAACCGATTTCAACAAAACTTTACTTTTTTTTGGCAGGTAGTGTTTCTTATTGTCTTGAACACTTTTTTCTTTATTTTTACATTCAGAATGCTTTAAAAATTCCATTTACAAGACAATTGTTTATAATAAATTTCTATTCAATCGGTAGACTCATAACGATTGAAAACAATGTTTTTTTTGAGTTTGGCTTTGACCAATTCGTAAAAAAAA